TTCCGGGACGGTGAGACCCAAATTTACGCTTTTAGCGCAAAAATAAAACCTCATAGAGGCACATTAAGCCCTGTTTTAATAACTTGCTTATATCTGATATATACTGGTATACTGACCTGAAATGCATATGCTTTAAGAAAATTATACAAAGTTTGTAAAACTAGATGTGTTATACAAAAATGTCAAAGGCCAACCAATAGTGAAATAAATCAACCACATATGCATCTTAACCTTTTACTATATGAAAATACATAACAATTGACAAAAAAATAAGCATAGGCTTAAACTAAATATTCATGTACGTCACCTCCGAATTAACATTTAACATGTGAGCAAATTACACAAAAAAAATATAATCCATCAGAAATAAATTTGCATATAATTAATATAATTTTTTATGAAAATATGCAGTGCACTATGCATGAATTCATCACTTACACAGCCCTGAATGACTATCAGAATACCAGTCACGATGCCTCCTCAAAATCACTTGGGATTCCTACATAATATATACAAATAACCATCAAAATTGCCATATAACTTAAGACCCGAATACCTATTAAAATAATCTTAGGATATTATCATACACCATTTAATTAACTATACTAATATCAACCTACATTTCCTATTGTACCCTATGACTATGGTTAAGCATTGTATACACAACAATTTTTTTAATAAAGTAACTCAAGATCACAAGCTAAAATTAAATGGCCTTATATAGAAAAGAGGACAGAAGGTGACCAACACAAGAGGCAACAGAACCAAGGTTTGGTTCCACCATGGCCATGGCCTCAAAATATTGAGATGTAGCCATAAGTTTCTAAGTGGGAATATAAAATACCTAGAAGTCTTCTTGATCCCAACTCAACTGATAAAGAAACCTCTTTTTTTTTGTGCGGCGAAACAGAGATGGGAATTTTTTTTCTTTTTGTTTGTGCGCGGCGGAACAGACATGAGAATAAGGAGAAGAGGCTGACGGAAATGAAGGAGTTGGGTAGGGTTTTGAACTATTCATAAGAGTCCTCTTTTGCTAATTGCCTATAACAATTTTTCTTTAAAAGTCCATTTACTTTTCTTTATATATATTGCTAAATAAAACTTAAGATTAGTACAGCCTGAAGTGGGAGGATACAAGATAAATCTCTGGATAATGAAGTGGAAACAACTAAACATCTAAAGTTGCATAGTTTAGAAGACAATCTTGATGTCTGTGATTTTGTATTTTTTTTATTTGTTTTTACCACACAGTTCATTGTGAGCTCGTACTAGATTCTAACATGAGTTATACGTTATGGAGTGGTCTTTTGTCAATTTAGCTAGTGGAATTGTTGCTGGCAAAGGACCCGACCATTAACTTTAAAACTCCGAAATTGTGGTGAGGGTTGAAGGATATAATTTAGGGTTCGAACCTGAGTTGCTCTGATATCATGTCAAAGCCCTACATGCAGTACACTAAAACTTCAAAATTATGATGATGGTTAAGGGATATAATCTTATATTCTAACAGTTACTTCCTCACAATTTTCTTCTTCTAAATAGTTGGGCAGCACAAAGGAGTGAGAAAAATTGCAATTACTCTTTGTATAGATCGAAAACGGACAAATTTTTTAAAACAACTGTTTTTAAAATTTAATAAGTAAATCCGACCGCTTCAAATTTTTTTTAGCAAAATCAACCCCCCTCCTCTCCGCCTTCAGCTCCTCGCCCTCACCTCCTCCCATTCCTCCCTCTCCTCCTGGGTCTCCCGCCACGTCGCCCCCCTTCCGCGACCTCGTCTCCACCATCGACCTCGGCGACGACGTCCTCGTCCCCCTCCTCGCTCCGCTCCCTCCTCTCCGCCTTCAGCTCCTTGCCCTCACCTCCTCTCACTCCTCCCTCTCTTCCTGTGTCTCTGGGTCTCCTGCCGACTCCTTCGTCTCCGCTGTTCAGGCCGCTGGCGCCAGCGAAGGAGATGGTGGACATCGGTGATTGGGTTGGAGGAGTTGGATATCGGGTTTTTTTTGAGAGGAGGAGGCGACGTGGCGGGGCGAGGAGCTGAAGGCGGAGAGGAGGGGGTCGATTTTGCTAAAAAAATATTGAAGCGGTCGGTTTTACTTATTAAATTTTAAAAACAGTTGTTTTAAAAAATGTGTCCATCGAAAACTGCTCAAATGCTTAAATTGTTAGGTATGTGACACAATAAGTCCAACATATTCATCCATCTATCTTCATAATTTATAAGCCATCTGAACTTTCTTGATGCATGCTTCGTAATCTTTACCCAGCCTCTTATGTATAGGAGAAGGCAGGATATTTCTTCTGCTTAGAGGATCGAGCTCTCCTCTGCAGAAACTGCGATATAGGGATCCACACTGCGAGTGCCTACGGCTCATCACACCAGCGATTTCTCATCACAGGGGTGAGAGTCGGTCTCCAGCACTATCTCACTGACAACAACAGTAACATTACCCCCAGTAGCATCAACAACAATGACAGAAGCAATAGCAGCAGCAGCAACGGCAACAACAACAACAATCATATAATTCCTCAGGCAACATCAAATTCTTCGATGACTAACGAGAAAGCGTGGAGTGTTGATGCTAATGAAGGGGACGGGTTTGGGGCTCAATGGATGTGGAATGAAGTACTGTTTGATAGTGCCGAATTCAGTCAATGTTATGGTATATCTGAACCTGGCTCTTCAAGTTAGTGCGTGTTATGATTTGGGTCAATTTTTTGTTTCTATGATGGAAAATAAAAAGTGAGAACACAAGGATGGAGCTGCAATTTTTTTTTTTTTCCTCCAAGGATTTTCTGTTGGTTTTTTAGCGTTAGTTACAGCAAGTGCCCATGAACTTTGAAGGAGCTGCAGTAAACCCCCTCATCAGCATTTTTTATTACGCTAAACCCCATAAACTGTCTTAGTTCACTAAATCTTATTAGAAAATTTATCTTTTAATCTTCATAGTAGCACCATCAACTCTAACGTGTCACTAGTAAGCACATGAAAGAAAAAAAAAAGACGAAAAATTCCTTCTTAGTCCCAAAAAAACCCATTGTATTAGGAAAAACATGCAATTTTTTGGGACTAAGAAATTATTTTCATCTTTTTTGGGTACATGTTTGTCGCATGAGATGTTAGAATCAAGTGCTAATTTGGAGATTAAATGAGAAATTTTCATGTGAAATTTAGTGAAATAAAACACTGCATGGGGTTCATGTGCAACAACTCCTAAAGTTCAAGGGGAATTTAGTGTGATGAAAAAAAGTTGATGGGAGTTTACTACAACTCCTCAAAAGTTCATGAGCGGTTTCTGTAATTAAGCCCTTTTCTTATGCGTGTGAGTACGCAGGCCAGTTCAAAGAAAAGTTGTTAATTTTCTTGTTCATATATACTGTATCCTTCCATGAAAGGCTTACTGATGGCTGATGCTCCCTCTTTGACATAACCTTTGTTCTTAAACAAGGATTAATGATTCTGAGAACTGGCATCACAAAGAGATCGGGTTGTAAGTTGTAACTGCATCTGATGTTTCATTAGGAACCATAAAATTGACAGCTTGCAGTTTCTTGTTTGGTTGATCTTCCAGTTGACCGGTATCCCTTTAGCTTTGACATGTGTCATTATGGGTATCATTGCTCATTGTACATACTTTCATTGGTTGATCGATTTTGTTGTTCTCAATATCAAATATTTCCTTGGCCAAATATTAGAAAACCCCATCAATGTTGGATGATTCAATTAACCTCCGTAACTTCCAAAATATCAGTAAACCCCTCCAACTCTAGGGGCTACCAGAAAACTCCTCCTAACTTCAAGATTTTAGTAGAAAAGTTTCCTAGAAGTGTGAACCATAATTTTCGTTGGAAAAAAAACCCACATGTGTAAATTTACCCACTCATGCGAACAATAGTGGCTAATCTTGTAAGGAGGATTTTCCAATAAAAATAAAAATTAAAAAGGGGTTCTCTAATAACTCCTAAATAGGGGTGCATTCGGTTCAGATACAGTTCGGATATGATACTTACCATATCCATATCCGCTTACACATCTCGGATACGGATACAGATATATCTTGGTAAGGAAAATTCATATCCATGTTCGTTAAAATTGGATACAGATATGGATATACATACGGATCTATAAGCGGATAAGCATGTAAATACAAAACGGATATGAAAAAACTAGATACTATTGAAAAAAATATAGTTCATGTTATACAAAAGAGTTACTAGTATGTTCATTATACCGGAAAAACTGATATTAGATATCTTGATCATCAAAATTAACCTCAAATCCATAACCTAAGGATTAAAACTATCGTAACAGTATGATTAATATGTATTCAGATATTTCAGATATAGATCCGGATATTTCACTACAAAACCATATCCGTAACCATATCCTATCGGCTATAGATTTGATGAACCATATCTGTATCCTAACGGATATAGTTACGGATATTTCATCGGATATGGATATGGTTTAGCATTCCTAGTCCTAAACTTAAGGGTTTTTTTTTATTTTATTTTGAAAGTTATGGAAGATTGTTATTTTAAATCCCCCCCCCCCTGATAATTAGCCAATTTATTTTGCTCTGCGGCTTTGAGTTTTAGTTTGTAGTCAACTCTTTTGTAGCATGGTGGAAACTGAAAGTTAAGAGAGCTACTGTGTGCTGATTTGGTTTTAAAATGTTCAAGTTTCTAAATTCTAGGAGATTTATTGGGCATATACAATCAAGATTATCGATCAGCTGAGCGATCTTGACTGTTAGTATGTATGTGATTTGATTATTGCTATCATTTTGCTTCATAATTGTTGAAATCAAAGAAAGAGAGGAATTTTTTGTGTTTCTCATTCGTTAAAAAGAAGAGGATAATTACTCATTTGCACTACGTACATTGTCCATGGAAAGTTCACGTGGAAACAAAAAAAAAATCTAATAAAAGACAAATATGTAATAAAAAATTCTTAAATAGAAAGATGTTATCTTAACTTATACATTTAATTTGGACCCTTCTACTAAAGACCATGCATTACATCATCCATTTATCTTCTAATAATAATAAAACACAAAGGAAATTACATAATTCGTATCTACCCATTCTTTACATAGAGGGTATAAAAAAATAGGGTAAAATTCAGAAATCTATCATAAAACTATTACAAGTTTTTGCATAAGAGAATCATAAACTACTTTTATTAAAAATATTACAAGCTTTCGAACTTGCAGAAAAATATCACATACGATTTGACAGTCTTTGACAACATCATCAAAACAATATAAAATGCCCTAACATTTAATAAGAAAGAAGGGACGAGAAATTAGTTGTATAAAACAAGTAAGGATAGCAATATGCTGAATATGTCACATAGGTATTATGTGTCTAACATCTACCACTCTCATGATATTTTGATGAAAAACATATTGTATATTTACCAAATTAATTGTTTTTGGTATTTTTATAAAAATGAAATAGTTATACAATATTATGTGTTGATGTCTGGGGGCTCAGCAGCGTTGTTAGAGGATAATCCCGAATCAGTGGCAGGGCTTCTGATCGATATGATGATATAGAGGTTGTTGATTAGTATAGAGAAGTAATATTAGAAAAAGAATATGTTATTTTTCTTAATCCAACGAAAGAATACAATGGTCCTTATATAGAGAGGAGTGAGCTATACAATGAAGTAATACTAATATACCATGATTCCAGGAATCATAAAGCTGATCTTCCGAGCGTACATGAGGGACGGAAATGACTTTCTCTTCTAACTTTTCTTTGATGAAGAACCTATCTACTTCTACATGCTTTGTCCTATCATGCTGAACTGGATTATGTGCGATATCGCATGCTGCTTTGTTATCACAGTATAGCATCATAGGTTCTTTTGGAGGGAAACCTATATCTGTCAGTAGTAATTTTAACCACAATAACTCTTGGATAGCTATTGCCATTCCTCGATATTCTGCTTCTGCACTTGATCGGGATACCACATTTTGCTTCTTACTTCTCCAAGTGACCAAGTTTCCCCCTACAAATGTGAAGTACCCTAATGTAGACCTTCGGTCACATATATTTCCTGCCCAATCAGCATCAGCATATCCTTCAACCTTTAGGAAGTTCTCATTTCTTTGAAACAAGATTCCTTTTTCAGGCGCTGCCTTAAGATAGCTGATGATCTTCATAACTGCCAGCATATGCTTCTCCCCTGGATTATGCATGAACTGACTGACGGTACTCAATGCATATGATATATCAGGCCTTGTATGTGCCAGATACATTAATTTTCCCACCAATCTCTGATAGCGCCCTTTATCAACGGGACTTGGTCTGTTTCAACTTCTAACTTCACTCCTTCTTCCATTGGAGTTTCTGATGGTTGACAAGCAGACATCCCAGTTTCATTTAGAAAATCTAGGGTATATTTCCTCTGAGATAGGAAGATGCCTTTCGATAACCTAGACACCTCGATACCCAGAAAATACTTCAAGTCCCCAAGGTCTTTCATTTTGAACTCCTGAGATAGGTGCTTCTTCAATGCATGCTGTTCATGAGGGTCGTTTCCTGTGAGGACCATGTCATCGACATAGACGATAAGTGCCGTAATCTTCCTATGACTCTTCTTCAAAAACAAAGTATGATCAGGATTACTTTGACTGTACCCGAACTTTCGCATCGATCTCGTGAATCTCCCAAACCAGGCTCTGGGGGATTGCTTTAGTCCATACAAGAATTTTTTAACTTGTAGATTTTATTTGTATGCTCAATCGGGATCTTATATCCAGGTGGGAACTCCATATACACCTCCTCCTCTAACTCTCCATGTAGGAAAGTGTTTTTTACATCGAATTGTTGTAGAGGTCAGTCCAAATTAGCAGCTAATGAGAGTAACACCCGCACAATATTAATCTTTGCCACGGGTGCGAATGTCTCCAGATAATCAATCCCGTGTGTCTGTGTGTAGCCTTTTGTAACTAATCTCGCTTTGAATCTTTCAATTGTTCCATCTGCTTTGAATTTCACAGTGTACACCCATTTGTATTCCACCCTCTTCTTTCCTGCTGGTAACTCGGTTAATTCCCATGTGTCATTTTTTAATAATGACTTTATCTCCTCGTCCATTGCTGATTTCCATTTTGGATTACATACAGCTTCTTGCACACTGTTAGGAATAGATACAGAGGATAATTGATTCACAAAGGATTTGTTAGATGTAGTTAACTAATCATAAGACACATAATTACTCATAGGATATTTGGCTTTACTTGTAAAGTTTGGATCATATATGGATTTGGGTACACCTCTATTTGCTCGGTTGGGAAGTTGTTTTCTGGGAATAGAAGATGATACCTGGGAGGACTCAGTTTCAGGGATATTCGAAGTGGACGATTGGTTATTCGAGTCAGGTGGGGGCTGCACAACTTCATTCAGCAGGGTTGTTGCTGTTACATTATCAAGAACTGGTGTTACTTCGGTTGTCTCGGTTGCCGGTGTTTGGCTTAAAGTTAACGTCGGGAGCACTTCTATTGAGCATATCTCTTCCTCACTAGCATTTCCAAATAACTGAACTTCCTTGTAATGGTCCCCCTGAAGTTCAGCCAATTCAAAGTACATATTATCTTCATGAAATGTCACATCCATAGTGACAAACATTTTATGTGTAGGGAGATGATAACACCGGTAACCTTTTTGGGATGAGGCATA